TAAAGATAAAATTGTTACAGTTCAAAAGAATATTAAAGAAGGAAAGTGGTCCGTGGCAATGTGAATGCATATTTCAGTACATGTCGTATGCTAATCTGGACCCACAGACACAGTGAAGCAGATTAAGGATAGTGGCCAGGATTGATGGCCTGATAGCTTTTGTCACTATCTTCCAAACAAACCTTTCTGCTCTTTTGTATTATTATTAACTAAATCAAGGGAAATTGTACATGTTGATGTTTGTCTTCATTATGAATGCCATATTTGGAAAGTTTCACAAAAAAATAGGAAATCAGAATTAAGGCGAGGTGCTTTACATCTTCATTCTCAGGTTGACACCTGAAAATGCTTGCAGCTCACTGCTGTTTTGTAGTGCTGGGCTCAAAGTTGAGGCAACAAACTGCGAAACTAGGAGAAGTGATGGTGAGGTTGGTAATTAATTCCAATGTGCTTTTCATTATTTTCCCTCAAAAATGCCATTTTTGAGATGTAGGAAATCAATAAAATGTCCCCAAATGCATGTTTGTTAGCCTACAATAGACACTAATGTTGTATTATTGGTTTCATCTGAAAAACTCTCTGCCTGTTTCAAGGTCTTGAAGGCTACGTTTCACTTTGGTTAGCACTGTTGCCATTTTTGGCAGCATAAAGATTCCAGCAAAATCATCGGTCTAAAATGGAAATGTTGACATCTCCTTTAAGTACAGCCACGAGCTAACAGTAATGATGAGAATGAAGAAAAGAATAAACAGTAAATATTCAACATGGGCCCAGATTTCTCAGGGAGCTCCATACATGTAGCCCCTGCCACAGACTACAGTAGCAGGGTCAGATGTTACAAACCACCAGTATTTTCAGTTGCAAGTTTACTGTCTTGAGGATACATTTAAAATTTTGCCTATTTGAAGGCAAAAATTGGAGTGAAAATTTAAGATTTCTGCTCTCCACATGATCCCATGTAAGGATCAGTCCTAAGTGGATGCTAATTGTAAAACTGTGGATTATTTTCCTTTTGTACGTTGACCTGCTGAGTTTATGAATAAGCAGCACACAGATATAGAAGTGATTTTTCCAGAACATTAAGAAGACTTCTATAGCTTTGCTGGGAATCCTGTTTCAATCTCATTGCTAACCTCTTGTTGAGGGAATTAACGCAAGGAAGATCGGCGTGGGCTGATGGACAGATTCTTTCTATATTCTTTATGAACAGAAAGGTGATTAGATTGAACTCTTACTTTGTAGTCTTCATCTTATCATAATTGGCATGGATACCATATTGGTTGCATTATTAGTTTCAATTTATTGCTTAAACACTATAGAAATGATCCATTTACAATTATTTTCCCAAACTCTCTATATTTTATCTTTCATTCCCTCAAAAAGGCAATGTTTAAGAGAACACATACAACTGTTTTTAAAACTATCATTTGCAGTGTGAGGTGTGGAATACAGGGTACATCTATACTAGCCCCCTACATCGATCTAGGGAGGCTAATGAAGGCGACTGAAATTGCAAATCAAGCCCAGGATTTAAATATCTCGCGCTTGATTTGCATGTTCCCGGCCGGTCACCATTTTAGAAATTGACTAGCCCGAAGTAAATGCCTGCGTCTACACGCAGCAGTGAAATGGGATTCCGATATGAGGTTTACCAGCTAATTCGAATTAGGGGCTTTAAATCGGAATCCCATTTCACTGCTGCGTGTAGACGCAGGCATTTACTTCGGGCTAGTCAATTTCTAAAATGGCGACCGGCTGGGAACATGCAAATCAAGCGCGAGATATTTAAATCCTGGGCTTGATTTGCAATTTCGGTTGCCTTCATTAGCCTCCCTAGATCGATCTAGGGGGCTAGTGTAGATGTACCCACAGGCATTATTTTAGTGCAAAGTGAGCGGTTTTGCTCCTCTATTCTGCTGCATCTACCACATAGCACATTTAAAACCATGGTGGTGATAGCATTGCTATAGATTGCAATGTTGCATCTGTGCATGTTTTACATATGGGGGCAGCTGATCTGGCATGACATAGTATTACAAAATAAGGCTTCAATTCAGGAAAATATTTATGCATAACTTTAAGCATATGTTTTAAGTAGTCCCTGGTATCGGGATGCCATTCTGAACTGGGGCCTAAATAAAGACCTGAAATATATTAGTGAGAAGATATAACTGAGAAGATCCACTGAGGACTAGAGGGGGTGGTGTTAGCAAGTGTATATACACCCTTTTACCCCTTGTCTCTGGCATTCAAGAGCAACATTAACAGCTTAGTTAACGTACTGGTCTATTGGTTTGCCATGAACAGTTAAACCATAATAAGTGCCAAAGCTCTGTTTAAGGATGTTCCTGAGTTCTGAAGTTACATTCGTGTGATGACATGATCTTCCTCCAGTCAGATTCAGCATAGCATTAGAATTTTGGTAGTTGATGCTCTGCAAAACTTCAAAATCCCTTTTCAGTGTCGGCTTGCATTTTACACAAGTGCAGATTAGCAAGATTTCACTGTACATGTAAATACTTGTCTGTCTTGTAAAACATGCAGGTAACTATAAAAACAACAGGGAACAATCTATTAGAACATGCTTCCTACTTCTGATTGTGAAATCATGGATCAAATGACATACAGTGAAATGGAAATTTCCTTTTATATAGTAGTGAATATACCCAGTAAAGAATACTGCGATTCTAAAATAATAAAATAAGGGTACTTATCTAAGGAATTATTTTAAGAATTTACCATGAGATTTTCATTAAAACACTCAACTTTTCCACGATTTTTAAAAGTTCAGACATGCTTAGAGGTGGGGGTTTTTTTTTTTAAATGTTAAGGAGTCAGATGAGGTTTTGGAAGCAAAAATAAATTTGAGCAAGTTTTAAAAAAGCAAAAGGGTGTTTGTCTTTAAAACTTGTACCAATGTGGACTATTTAATATTAAAATGTAGTATTCAGGATTGATTAATGCTCAGACAATTTCTAACTGAGCTGCATAATGCAACACTGAGTTATTTATATATTGCATATACTTCTTTTTGTTATTAGTTATACTTTGAAAGACTTATTAGGGCGAGAACACAGCACACCCTGAGAATAAAAATCTTCTGTTTGACATATTTAAGAAAGCAATCAAATGTTACGAAGAACCAACTTCACTTACAGTTAGGAAACTATTTACATTTTAAGGTTGAAAAATCAGGATGTAGGAAAATTTTGCTAATTTGGAAGGTGACCTTTAAGTGCACCAAAACCAAATAATTTGTAAGCCATGGCACAGGGCACATTCCTGTAAAAGTTGTTTGAATACTTCTTTAGTGGTTCTTGAAAGACAAACAAAGAAACCTGAAATGAAATCTTTATCCCCCTACCAAATAAGATTGAAGCTAACAAAAGAATACAGCGTGCTCTTTCAAGGCTTTCCATTAAAATGAAGGCTCTGCAGCCCGGTTAATGAGATGTCTCAGAAAACAATCTGTTTTTAAGAATGTTTAGATCAAAAGTAATTTCTAATCTATGAAATGAAGTTGCTTTTCAATACCTTTCATTCAGTAGCCAGGCTGTATATGTTTGCTTTATTTATTTTAATCAGATGTTCTCAATTTTACTTTTTCTCCTTGAACCTACTTGACAAAGTTAGCCAGTAGTTACCAACAGTATTATTCCTCCAAAGCAAAAAACAAAAACAAAAGACAGAGTTGGAGAGAAAAAAGGGGTGGGGGAAAACATCTTTGCCTAAATGATTTGCAAGCATCTGTGCTTTAAGCTACTTTTTATGAACACTCTTAGTAATGACTCAAGGTAAAAAGCAGAAAAGCATCCAATGTTAGGAAATTGCAATCCAATACCATGTAATTTAAACCTGCCGTTGCTTCTCTTGTACTAAATGACATACAGATGGGTAGCTCTGTTCCCTCTACTTTAGGAACACAATTAGACTTTTTATGAGTGTGTATATATATTACTGACAAAAGAACTGTTTATTTCTAATTGTGCATATTATAATTATTTGAATAATTTGAGTTATTTTACATGAAGCATTACATATGGTGAGTAAAGCTATTTCTACATTCAGCACACTTATATTAGTGTAATTTTTTTTGGTTTTTATTCACCAGAACTGCCAGTATTAGGTCCTGAAAAGTACAAATCTCAAATACCATTCCTTAAAAATATTTTTTTAATTCTTTTCCAGCATAATTACAGATCATTATAAGAATAATGTTTTCACTCTAATACCTTGAGACCATTTAGATTTTCTTCTTGTGTGCAGAACTATGCAAAAAGTCTAGATTAGGATTTTTAAGGGAGTATGAGCCACTTAAGCACCTTTGACAATCCAGCTCTAATCTTTCAAGCAACTTTATTTTTGAGGACTGCACAATTTTTAGAATAGTGAAATGACTTTTCTCTTAGAGTTGATATTTTGATCTACATTATAATTCATAGCCCCAATGAATAATTCAGTTGTGACAGAAATACACCTTTTGAAACAAAGTAACTATAGTGATGGTGGAGAAATCAGCCAGAGTGGATATGTAATGATTTATTATATTTAAAACTTCTTTAAAAGGCTGTGAAATCATTGGATGCTGAATTGTGGCTAAACATCATATGCCCATTACCTTATATCTACAATATAGATGTCTTGCAAAGAGCATTGAGTTTGAATTTTAATTTTGCAGGCTTTTTTTTTTTTAAGTGGTAGGAAAATGTTATCATCTCATGAATGGCTGTGTAAAGATGTAGGATGGTGCACAGAAGGCTTTGGCTGTAGCACATTGTCACTGCTCCAGTGGAATCACCTGGCTTTTGAACAACATTCTTTTAAAACTTGGATTAGAAGAATTAATCAGATGGAGTTCAGCTGAGCCATTCTAGTGCATTAGGAACTGGTCTGGCCATTGACAAGTGAATGCAGAAGCTATGCCGTGGCCGCCAGCCAAAGCAATTATTCAAGATTTAAGTTAAAAGGGCTCCTTCTCTCATATCCTCTCCCTTTTGCAGGGTCATGTAGGGATAAAAAGAACTGCAAGGTGGTCTTTTCCCAGCAGGACCTGAGGAAGCGGCTGACGCCCTTGCAGTACCATGTCACTCAGGAGAAAGGGACTGAAAGGTAAGGCAGGCAGAAGGAAGCATATTCATGAAAAAATAGGCAACTTTCCTTGTCTCCTTCCCTCTTCTACTGTTTCCCCACCAACCACTTTCAAGAATTCTGCACTTATTTACTAACCCCTACAAATTAACACCACCGAAAAGACCGGAATCTGCAGCCTGGTGGTCAAGGCAATTTTCTGTGTGTGTATTAAAAGAACACTAAGTGTCTTATAAAGTCACAGAGCTTATGTTTAGGGTCTGTTTTCAGTTTACTACAAAATGTGTGGAAGTAATAGCGGTTTAGGTACATTTTTTTGGAAGACATCACAGTGAGCAGAACCACGAGGAAAACGGCTCTGTGCCAGGAGGCTGAAATTTTGAAGGTGACCATTGTAAGTATAGACATTTTGGCTGCAAAAAGAAGGTAGCATAATTTAGTTCCTTTCCACCCCACTCCAATTTCTTTTTGAAGCACATGTGGGGAAGGTATTTATTGGCTCATTTGTGGTAGGAATGTCAAAAATTTTCAATAACTGCCCTTGCATGGCTTTAGTCCCTGGAAGCTAGCCCCAAATCCTGGATGGAAAAAAAACTTCTCCTTTCCAAACTGCTCTTAGTGAATAGTCTCTCTCAGCTGATTCCAGCATAAAGGCAACTTGCCAAGGTCTAACCATTTTGTTGTCTAATTTATACCATGGAGCTTGGCACAAGGCCCTAGCTTACCTCTGATCCAAATGTATTAATGATGTAACTGCTTGTTTTCATTCATGACCTGAAAGGGCTCTTTACCACACATGGGGCCCTAGTTAATAGGCAACACTCTTCCTATCAGAATATACACTGTTTGCTGAATTTAATGAATGGGAATCATGGCCACTCCCATTCTCTTCAACCTCCCCCCCCCTTCCATCCCCATGAGCTGGCAGTGGGACCTGAACCTCCACTCATGAGGCCTTCTTCCACCCTAGTCACTTACTGTGTGTATGTGACTAACAAAATGATTTAATGCGCACAAACAATTGGAGAGCAGGTCATTCTTAAAAATCCTGTTTATAAAAAAAATTGGACCTCATAAAAAGGGTGAAAGGATAATAAAAACAAGCTGCTGCGCACATAGGCTTTTTGTTGGAGTAGCACAGCTGATTTGTATTAGATGAATGACCTCCTAGCCCTTAAGTTTGTTAACTTAGAAAAATATTCCCTTAAAACTATAATATTCCTTTTAAGCTGAAAATATAAGGCTCCCATAGCTTGAAATGATGGACTTTTATTTCATTTTTTGCTAAGATACTATTGGTACTCTTAACACATGGGCAGCCCATCCTGGGCTAACAAACCAATAGTGTAATTTACCCACTATACTATTGCTTTATTTGTTATTGTATAGTATTTGAGATCATTGTTAAAAGATTTTTTGAAGGCCAAAGCTAGAGAATTGCTCAAGATTAAATTGAATTTTAAACAATCTTTGTTTAAAAATGAAAACTGTTTGGAAACATTCTAAAATTCATAAACAGCTATTGTTTTTTGTGCTCTGATCTTTGACTTGTGTAACACTTTGCTTCCTCCTGCATGGTATGTAACTGTTAAGACAAATTTATGACGATAAAGATTAATAACCGCTAACTCTTGAGTTAAACTATTTGCATTGTAGAAAGTATATTCTAAAGTCTAAGCTAATATATTATATAAAAAACACAGTTCCCTTACTGATTTTTAAAATAGTGGTGTTGTTTTTCCCAGTGCCTTTGAAGGAGAATACACTCATCATAAAGCTCATGGAATATACAAATGTGTTGTGTGTGGAACTCCTTTATTCAAGTAAGTATTTTAAATATAATTTCACAACTGCTTTCTGTATTAGATATTCTGTTATGTTCCACAGTAATCTTACTCGTGTTCCAACTTTACAGTAGTTTTGTATGAAAATTTTAAGAACTAACTATCATTCAAACCAAAAAGTGGTATTAAAGTGTAAATAAACAATAAACTAGAGTCTAGTAGTATAAATAACTTGGCTGGAAAATGAGTTTTATAATATAGAGCCATGGACTTGGCTGGTGAGCTAACATTAGAATTCTTTGATTTCTTTATTTCAGCATGTGGGTGTAAACCAGTGATTTGCCATTCTGCAGGTTCATGTAGGCCCAATGGAGGTAATCTCTCTACATACCAGTAGGGTGGTTAGGCCTTTCAGAACAAAAGACCAGTTATACTGGGTCAGAACAATGTTCCATCTTCTGAGAGTGGTCAATGTCAGAAGCTTCAGAAGGAGTGAATAAAACAGGGCAGTTATCAAATGGTCCAATCCTAGCTTCTAGCAGTCAGAAGTTGAGGAATACCCAGAGCATGGAGTTGCATTCCTGGCCATCCTGGGTAATAACCATTGATGGACCTGTTCTCCATCAATTTATCTAATTCCTTTCTTAACTCAGTTCTACATTTTGGCCTTCACAACATCCTTTCACGACAAGTCCCACAGGTTGACTGTGTTTTGTGAAGAAATACTTCCTTATGTTGTTATAAGCCTGCTGCCTATGTACAATCTTTGAGTGATCCCTAGTTATTGTGTTATGTGAAGGGGTAAATTACAGTTCCTTATTTACTTACACCACACCAGTCATGATTTTATAGAGATCTGTCATATCCGCCCTTAGTTGTCTCTCTTCTAAAGTGAACAGCCCTAGTCTTTGTAATCTTTCCTCATATGGAAACTGTTCAATTCCCCTAATAATTGTTGTTGCTCTTCTCTATAGATTTGTCTATTCTGATATGTCTTTTGAGATGGGGTAAGCAACACTGTATGCTGTGTTAAATGTGGCGTTATATTTTCTGTCTCCTTATCAATCTCTTGCATAATGGTTACTAACATTCTGTTAGCTTTTTTGTCTGCTGCTACATATGGATAGAAAACTATCCATGATACCTCCACAATCTCTTTCCTGAGTGGTAACAGCTAATTTACACTCTATAGTTTTGTATCTACAGCTCGGATTATGTTTTCCAATATGCATTACCTTGCATTGGTGAACACTGAATTTCATCTGCCATTTTAATGCCCAGTTCCCTAATTTTGGAAGATCCCTTTGTAACTCTTCACAGTCTGCTTTGGACTTAACTTTTTTGAGTAATTTTGTATAATCTGCAAACATTGTTACCTGTTCACCCCTTTTCCCAGATCTTTTATGCATATTTTGAACAGAACTAATCCCAGTACAGATCCTTGGGGGACCCTGTTGTTTACATAACTGATTTGTGAAAACAGGCCATTTATTCATACTCTTTGTTTCCTGTCTCTTAACTGGTTATAGATAGGGCTTACCCTCTTATCTCCTGACTGCCATTTTACTTAAGAACCTTTAGTGAGGGACTTTGTCACGGGCTCTTGGAAAGTCCAAGTACACTGTATATACTGGATCGCCCTTGTCCATATGCTTGTTGACGCCATCAAAAAATTTTAACAGATTCGTGAAGTGTGATTTCCTTTTACAAATCTATCTTGTCTCTTTCCTGACCTATGGTGTTCTGCGTATCTGATAATTCTGTTCTTCACTTCTTTCAACTAGTTTGCCTGGTACTGAGGTTTGCCTTATCCATTGATAGGATTGCCTCTACACTGTTTAAAAAATTGGCATATTGGTTAGCATCTTGTCATCTGCTCCAGAGACCAATTTAAGTGATATGTTATATACTGTAGTTAGTAGTTCTGCAGCTTCATATTTGAGCTCCTTCAAGACGCTTGGGTGAATACCATCTGTTCCTTATGATTTTTTATTATTCAGTTTGTCAATATGTTCTAAAACCACTTCAGTCTTGGACAAATTTGCTACCTAAAAATACTGGCTCAGGTGTGGGAATCTCTCTCACATCCGCTGCAGCAAAGACTGATGCAAAGAATTAATTTAGCTCTCTTTAATTGTCTTATGCCTTCCTTCAGTACTCCTTAGCATCTTCATCATCCAGTGACCCACACTGATTGTTTGTCAAGTTTCTGGCTTCTTATGTACTTACAAAATGTTTTTGTTCATTTTTGAGTCTGTTGTTAATTTTTCAAATTCTTTTTGGCCTAATTATACTTTAACACTTGACTTTGCCAGAGTTGTGCTTTTTTTTCCTGTTTTCTTCCCTCAGATTTGACTTCAAAATTTTAAAAGATTTTTTTTGTTTGTTTCAAACTCCCTGGTTTTTTTATTCCATTGTTAAGCCATGGTGGCATATTGTTGTCCTCTTATTTGTTTTATTGCAGGCATGCACTAAGTTTGAGCCTCAATTATTGTGGGATTTTTTTTTAAAGTTTCTATGCTGGTTGTAGGCATTTCACTCTTGTGATCATATTTTCCATTTAACTAGCTTCCTTATTTTTTTTATGTGTAGTTCCCCCTTTGTGTGAAGTTAAATTCTATTGTTATGGGATTGTTTGGCAATTCCCTGCTTACACTGAGGTTAATTTAATTACATTTATGGTCCCTTCTACCAAGCGATTCAACCATGTTCACCTCTTGGATCAGATACTGTGAGCCATTTAGACTAAATCAAGAATTATTTCCTCCTTTGTGGTTTCCAGGACCAGTTGCTCCAAGAATCGGTCATTAATGGTGTCTAGAAATTTTAGCTCGGAATTCTGTCCTGCGGTAACTGTACCCATCAATATGGGGGAAACTGCCCCATCGTTGGACTTTCTGTTTTTGTAGCCTCTCTAATCTCCCTCAAACATTTCATGGTCACTGTCACCATTCTGGTCAAGTGATTGGCAGTGTATTTCTCTGCTATACTCTTATTATTCAACCATGGGATTGCTGTACATAAAGATCATGTGGTACAGTTTGATTCATTTAAAATTTTTACTATATTTAAATCTATCGTTATTTTCACATGTAGTGCCACTCCATCACCATTATGACACATTCTATCACTTGTATATTTTGTACTTGGACATCACTGTGTCTCATTGATTGTCATTGTAGCAACTAGTTTCTGTAATGCCTGTTCTATCAAGTTTCCTTTTATACCAGGCACTCAAGTTCACACATCCTAGTGCAGTAAACTTCTGATAATCCGGGACCTTTAGAACCCAGGGGGGTGCTGGATTATCAGATATGCCGGACTATCAGAAGGGGGGGCTATGAGAGGTCTAGGGTAGGGTGGGGAGGGATGCCACTCCAGACCTCTTATAGCCCCCCCTTCCGATAGTCCGGCTCTACCCCAGGCGTCCCCGATTCAGCTGCTGCTCGTCAGTTTCAGCAGCGGCTGAATCCGGGATGCCTGGGGCAGACCAGCTGGGGTGCTGCTGCGTTGGTCCGGTAGTGCTGCCCTTAGGCACTGCAAGACCAACCCGGCAGCACCCCAGCTGCTCTTGGGGACGCCTGGGACAGAGCAGCTGGGGTCCTGCTGGGTTGCTCCAGTTTGTCTGGCAGCCAGAGCACTTCCGGGTTCCTGATGGTGCTGAAACTGATCAGCGGCTGACTCCAGGAATCGGGATGCCTGGGGCAGAGCAGCTGGGGTGCTGCCGGGTTGGTCCCGTAGTGCCGCTCCTCGGCGCTGCGGGGCCAACCCGGCAGCACCCCAGCTGCTCTGCCCCAGCGGCTGACTCCAGGAATCGGGATGCCTGGGGCAGAGTAGCTGGGGTGCTGCCGGGTTGGTCCCGTAGTGCCGCTCCTCGGCGCTGCGGGGCCAACCCGGCAGGACTCCAGCTGCTCTGCCCCACGCGTCCCCCAGAGGC